CAAATAGACGCCGACAACTTTGGCTCAACCTTTGGGTTTTTGTCTTGGGACCCTTTGCTATCCTTTTGTCCAATACCAATCATATTTTTCCTGCCTTCTGGGCGACAATGGCAGAATCTGGTTTGATATTTTTCAGTCTCTCAGTGGGAGGTGTCTCTGTTGCTCTTGTCTCTGTCTTCAGGTGATGCACACAGCCTGACACCCTGCTGTAGACCTGAGCCAGGTGGGGGGTTGAGACACTTGGAGTCTCATCCAATCACTTTAACAAACTTTCCTGAGCACTTACTACGGCCTAGGCACCATGCTAGGAATGAGTTAGTTACAGACTCTGAGCTTGCAATGTGCACAGAATTTTATAGGAAATAGACCTTATATGAAAGATCAAAGTTATCATATAAATGGTAGTAAGTTCCACAAAAGAAGTACATAATATATTTTCTAAGAAGAAGGAATGCCTTGCATGCAGAGTGTAAGAATAATGACTAATTCTTTGCATGTGAATACAATAGCAGTCTACTATTTTTTGCTTCTGGCTTTTATTCTTATCTTTATGCTTCTTGTTCCCATGGAACTGAAAAAATGCTTCAACATTTGGTCTTTCCGTACAATTAGTATCCTGATCCCTAACACTTCTGTAATCTTAAACCAGGAAACAATTGCTTTTACTTGTATCCTCATTTGATCTCAGGCTGTGATGTAAACTTCTGTACCACCTTTTAAAAATTTTATGGTCCTTAGGATAAAACCCAGGGATTCTGTACCACTGAGCTACATCTCTAACCCTTTTAAATTTTCACTTTGTGATAAGGATTTGCTAAATTGTGCAAGTAGGACTCAAATTGATGATCCTTCTGCTTCCCTCGGTGTTGGGATTACAGGTGTGCACCACCATACCTGAAGCATCCCACTTTTGCAGATGAGAAAACTTTTCTCAAGATTTAAAATCACTTATGATAACTTTAGGGCTTTAACAGTGGTAAAAGAAAGGAAACTGCCTATAGCTGGTTATGCGAGCCAGAAATTAAGCACTGTTTGAGCGTGAATGCAAACTTTTATAGTTATATACTGGTTTGAACAGGAATTATTTCTTGGTTCATGTCACTTACCTTTTCCTATTTTAGCTCATGCTAGTTGCCCAATAAATTCAGGTAATAATACTACCACCATTACTATAGACAACATAGCGGAGGGCTCAAAATAAAGCTTTAGAAATGAGCAGGAAAACTTGGGTAAGCTAAACCAGTAAAATCCACTGGCCCTCTTTATTTGCAAAATGAGCTCTGAACCCCATTGGCTTAGAGTTTTTATGGTGATTAAAGGAGTGAGTGTGCCTTGAGAATTCATGTCCCCACACCTGGCAGTGGGTCAGACCTCAGCAGTGGCTAGTTCTTACTATCAGTGGAGGCAGGGTGTTGGCCAGAGGTTAGACAGCCTCGTCCAGGTAGGGCAGGTGGCTGGAAAGTCCTGCAGAGTTGGTAAGCAGATGTCTGGGAATACAGGTGTATTAGGGTCACTTGGCTACAGGCTCATGGCTGCTATTCAGATAGGCAGGAAGAAATAAGAATTGAGCTCTAGAGACTGACTTGGAGACAAGAAGAATGAGAAAAAGAGAAGAGTAAGGACTGCAAAGGAGAGGAGATACTGTGGTATAGCAGGTATAGGAGAACCAGGAGTGCATATGACTGAGTTGATGCTGACCCACCACTGGTTCCACTCACTTCTTTTGGTTTGGAAGCCAAACCAGAGTTAGAGTCTTCAGATGGTGGCTGGAGGAATTGGGATCCTGGGCCATTCCAGGTGTAGCTTATGGCTCAGGTGGTGTTTTAGTTACATTTGTGTCATTGCTGAGACAAAACACCTGATCTGCAGAATTAAGGAAGGAAAATATTTCACAGTTTGTACAGGTTCTAGTCCATACTCAGATGGCTCCAAGGCAAAGTGGTACATGGTAGAGGGCAACAGTACCTGGTGGTGGAAGACAGCAAAAGCAGTCAGAGCAAAAGGGAGGAGTGGTAGCAAGCAAACCTCTTTCTCTCTCTTTTAATGTATGCAGGCTACCCACCCTAGGGCGTGTGTAGCACTCACACCCATAATCCCATCACTGGACCATGAATCAATCAAAAACTCTAGAAGCCAGCCCCATGACTGCATGAGGCTTTGAGAAGATATCTAGACACAAGCCAAAACAGGTGGAGAGTGACATAGCATGGTCATTGGCAGATATGAAATAATGTGTGATGAGTGATAGTAAGAAGGAATCAAGAAAACAGGAGACCATTTCCCAAGGTTAGATGCCAAAGGCACTTAGCTTTTATGAGCTCTCATGGATCAGATCTATATCTTGGTGAGAAGGAGGTGCTTTATGAAGTCCATTGCTGGCATGGAGTCTAGATGGTGCACTTTGAGTAGATAGGTATCCGTCAGTCTTGCCCTGCCTTACAGTGGGGTGTTTTTTTTGGAGAGAAATACTGATCTGTCTTCCTCAGTCAAGGAAGCCAGTTCCTAATGTGTAAATTGGTTTCTCTGTAAGAATTCAAAGTTTGCCCCCTGAATGTCTGGAGAAAAGAACTTCAGCCCAGGGACATGCCAGACAGCAGATGGTAATAAAAACACAGCAGGAAGTAGGATCAAGATGAGGTTCATGGGTTCTGTCTCCATCAGCTGTTCCAGTGAGATCCAGGAGAGCAGTGGAGGGCCGCCCTGCCAAATCTTTTAGCCCTGCACGAGATCCGAGGTTGTGGGGCAGGAAGTAGGATGGGGTCTTCTACAGTGAATGAGGCCTGTGGTTATTGTAGCTTAGCCAGGGAGGTTACTGATCACCCCAGCATTGTGTGGAGCTTCCTCAGCTCACTGCACAGTCTTGGCAGCAAATCTGACACTGTAGTGCTTGACAGAAGTCAGTGGCTACCCTGGATGTCAATATTATTTTTTCAGCACTGGAGATTAAACCCTGGTCCTGTGCATCCAGCTATATCCCCAGCCTTGTTATTCTTTATTTTGAGACAGGGTCTCACTAAGTTGTCCAAGCAGGATTTAAACTTACAATCCTTCTGTCTCAGCCTCTTGAGCCATTGAGATTACAGGCATGTGCTGCTCCATTTGGCTTGACAATAAATCTTACGTCCCGGGTGGCCAATGAGGAAGCCTTGAATTCATTCTTCCCAATTCTTATGTGGGCCCAAAGCCCGATACCTTCTCCAGAAGGCCAAAAGCCGCCTCACTACCAAATGACCAGGGCTTCATCTGTCAAAATCAATGCTTGCTTCTGTCACTTGCCAAGAAGGGGGCCTGGTGGCCAAGTTACCTGGGTGAGGTGGTGTGTAAATTCATTTTGCATTACAAAAGCAACATACATGAGGCCGTGCAGTGAGTAAAAATGTTTCTTTAGCTCATTGTTTTGGATGTTCCAGAGAGTGGTACCACCATCAGCCCAGCTCTGGTGAAGACCTCTCGGCTGATGGCATCACAGTGGTGAGAATGATGGTGAGACAGGAAGCCAGAGCAGAAGGCGAGGCCAGCATTGCTCTTTACAACAACTCCCTCCCATGGGGGTTAACTGAGGTTCCACGAAAATGGCATAATTCCCCTTCAGGGCAACTGATGCCCCCTTGACCCAGTTACCTTGGACTGAGCCCCACCTCTTAAAAGCCCTCTCTGCCTTTCAACATCACCACACCGAAGATCAAGTCTCCCATGTGTGTACTTTTGCAGAGCAAACCACATCAGAACCATAGCAGATGGTAACCACATTGGATGGTTCACATGGATGTAGTTCAAACTGATGAGTGTTTCTAGAAGGATATGTGCTTCTAGGAGGATAGGTTTGGTGCTGGGGTTCTCACACATGGGTGTGAACGAGCATAAATTGGGTGTACCTTAGAATTCAAATTTCGGGATTGCAGCCCTAATGATTCTGATGAAGGCAGTCTGAAGTGACTCTGGGAGTGTGGCTTTAAGATGTTCCCCCGGTAATGTTGATGTGGGTGGGCCATGAATCATGCTTTGGGAAATGTGGGCACTGTGGGATGAGTCTCAGGCTGGGACTCCAGAGAAGGGAGTTCCAGATTTGGGGTTCCCTTCTTGGATGTGCAACCTGAGTAAGTCACTTTCCATCTCTGAGCTTGTTCCCTTTATAAAATGAAGGAGTTGGACTAGATCAGCAAGTCTCAACCCAAGCTGTATAATGAAGTCATGGAGGAGCTTCAAAAATGCTCCCAGAGAACCCAGCACTCAGGCTCCCCAGGCATTTCAACACGTGAAGGTGAATTGCATGCTTTGACTGTGTTGTTTAAAAAGCTTCTGGGGACTAACTGCTGCCAGCCTTGAGAACTACAGTCCTGATAATGCCCACTCTCAAATTCTGAGTCTGTGCAAGGCCGCATATCTCATGTCTCATTCCCTCATTAATCCGTGTCATGAGGGAAAGGCTTTTTGCGTTTTATGATTTTCCAAACAGTTAAAGAATTTTCAAATAACTAAAGAGTAATGATCCAAGCACCAATTTTTTAAAACTTTCACCCTACTTTGATTTTTCCTTTTAGCAAAAATATCTAAACCTTTTTGATGATTAAAAGTTATCACTGTGGTCTCATCCATGGATTCACTCCATAAATATGCACTTGGTACCTACTGTGTGTTAGGCACTAGTAGGAAAAAATGTTAAAGTAAGTCTAAAGACCCAGGGACTACAGGTCAGCAATAGTGATATGCAAACTAATACTTAAATATTCATCTGTGCTTACTTTTATTATCCCATTCAGGGCTCTCAGGCAGGTACAGTCACATTCTCATTGTACACACAGTGAAAGCAAGGCACAGAGAGGTTTTGTACTTTCTCAATGTCACACCAGCAGTAGAACTGGGACTCGGCTCAGGTCTGATCTCTCTGTGTGGCCTGGGAGAAGACCGCTCCTTCCCAGCGGCTCAGCTGCCTTCCGTGCCCAGTGACCTCTCAGCCCCTTCGGTCCCTCCTACCTCACAGGCCCATGTCTGCCTGCCAGGTCCCTCAGGAGGTCTCTCACCTGCATCAAGGAGAGCCTGCGCATATTCATTGACCTGGGAGAGAGGGACAAGGCTGCGGAGGCCTGGCTTGCGGCAGGAAGGCTCCACTACCTCCTGCAGGAAGACGAGCTGGTGGAGCTCTACTTCCAGGTTGGTAAGGATCTGCTGACTCGGGCTGTTTAGGAGGCAGCTGCACCCTCCAAATTGACTGGCTGGAACCAGAATGGAGTGATGCCCATGCCAAGAGGTTGTGGGACTAAGGGGTGTTAGGTTGGAGGACACTAGCACATGTCTGTCACTTACCGTTGGTGTGACCTTGGAGAAGTTCCATATCCCTTCGGAGCCTCACTGTCTCCATCTGGAAAGAGCAGGTGTTGGATTAGATCCCACTTTCAGTCATTTACACATTAAGTTCCTGGCTTTGCTATATCCAGGCCTTCTCTACTGTTATCTACTTCTTTTTCATTGACTCAACTTCACATCAGTGAAGTTTTTAACATTCAACTCTACTTTAAATAATGCTGTCTGAAATCACTGGTTTGAGGCATCAGTGATCTTTTTTCCTAAAGTACATTAAATGCTTAACTATTAAAACATAAGGTGCTTAAGTACTGTTAAAAATCACTTCTAGAATCACCAAATCACTCACACCGTGATAGGGAAACACTAGATAGAGAATCCCTGGGTCTTCCCATCACCCTGTACATGTGCAGACCAGTTGGTGATGTTGGGGACTTCACAGAATTGAACAGGTGGGTCTGGATCTTACTTTGGTCCATCCTGGAGGCCCTCCTCCCTGCCTTTGACAGCTGTCTCTGTCTACCCAGGCAGCCATCCAGGCAGCCTTGAAGTTAGAGGAGCCCTCCTTGGCTCTCAAACTCTACGAAGAAGCAGGTGATGTGTTCTTCAACGGGACCCGCCACAGGCATCGCGCGGTGGAGTATTACCGGGTAAGTCCCGGCCTATGCGGTAGGCTGAGCTCCACTGTGACACAGATGCGGACAGGCTCACCCTAGAGCTCAGCCTTACTCCCTTTCCCCGTTTCTTGTTGGTATTTCTTTTTCTTCCCTTCCTTGTCCCATGCTAATGTACTCACCTTGTGTTCTGGGAAGGATCTGATAGACTCCCTCATTCTCAGGCTTGTATATTATCCTTCTTGGGACAGTACACCATGGTCACTAAACCTCTTGGGTGCGTGGTACTTTTTTATATCATACTTCAGTGCTTAGCAGTCCTCCCCACTTACGATTGGTGTCATAGTGGAATATTTTAAAGAATTTATCAAAATGTATTTTAAAAGGTATAATACCAGCTCATCAAAACTATGAGTTCACAGATATTATTGCAAAGGATGTGGCAAAAATAATTGATTTAAAGAATAACGCTGATTGAATAAGTGTCCACGTATTCAGCAGATACATCAATGTATCACTGACTGAAGTTTGGGAAACCTCATCTTATTTGACCGTAAAATTTTATTCATCTGGATGTTTATTCCTTTGTTCAGTTTTAAAATTTATCTATTAAACATTATCAGGCACCCAGCATGTGCCAGGTACTGAGCTAGAGGTTAGGAAGATAAGAAACACATTCCTGACTATGGAGGTGCTTATTTTCATATACATTTTGTAAATAAGAAAACTGATGCTCAAGAGTTGAAGTGACCTGCCTAAACTTTCACTATAATAAAAATAACAGAAGTGACCATTTATTGAGCACTGCCACACACTGTATGCATACTCATAGGAATGTTGCACAGAACAACACTGTGGGCATGGAGGGACCACATGGCTGAGAGGTGAGTTACTTCCCAGGTGGTCTTAGGAAAAGTAACCTCCCTATCCTGCCTCAGTTGTCCCAGATTTAGGAAGCCTGATGATCTCTAGTTCTTCAGTCTCCAAAACTTAGGCAAAGAGCCAAGAGCAAGGAGCAGGAGAGCAAATTGAGAAAAGGCATTGCTTGGAAACATGGCGGCTACCCCCAACCCTGCCAGGAAGGGAGGAGCCTCTGGGTGTGGCCGTTGCCATAGGCTAAGGCTCCTGTGCTGTGACCTAGGCTGGGGCTGTTCCTTTAGCAAGGAGGATGAAGGCACTCAGAACCGAGCTTCGGATTTTCAGCAAGCTGACAGAGCTGCAGATCAGCCTCGAGGGCTATGAGAAGGCTCTGGAGTTTGCCACGCTTGCTGCCCGGCTGAGCACCATCACAGGTAGGTGGTCCTAGCTGTCAGCTATGCTGTTAGGAGGGGCAAACCCTACTCAAAAATAGATAACACAGCAGTTTGAAGTGCTCTGCATTCAGACTTTGTGGGTTCCAATCCCAGACCCAAATGTCAGGGAGAACTTAGGTAAATTACTTAACTTCCATAAGCCTCAAGTTTGTCATGAGCAAATCAGGTTTAACAACAGTGCCCACCTCATGCAGTTGTTTTGAAGACCAGTGGTTGTCCACATAAACGCCACAGCACAGTGCTAGACATGTAAGTCCTTGCTCACATAGAAACTGTAACCTGTGCCATACTAATTATTAATATGACAGTGGTCATTATTCCCTCAGTTCTTTTATCCTATGCAAAGGCAGCACTCTTGTTACATAAGCACTTTGCCCTTGGCTTTTAATTGGTTGATTGTTAGCCAAAAGAACATTTTCCCATGAAATAAAAATGTAAATGAAGGTCAGGTCCCTATTAGCATAACTTACAACATAGTTGGAATAGATTGCATTTACAGCAAAAGCAATGGGAAATGATCTAAATCATCAAAGCGGAGGAAAGGCAGAATAAAAAAGATTAAAAAAAAATCTCTGTTCTTGCCTTGGTGCTGAGGAAAAGCAGGTGTGTTTAGAGAAGGCTTGGTTACATGTAAGAGTAAATCAAATCTTTTGCAATGGCTCTAGAAGGGACTTCTGGCTATTTTCAAGGGTATCTAATGCGGATAGTACTGGACTTTATTTTGGCTAATTGCACTTGCAAGCTCTTTCTCTTTCTTTCCTACTTTTTACTTTACCGTGCAAACCCTCATCTGAGGGACAGTCTGCTAATCTCAGGAAAGACCTTCAGGGCCTAGTCCTCCTGGGAGGTGAAAGGACCCTGTATTCATCCTTTATACATGAGCTTCTCTGTGATTGGATGTTTCTGTCAGAGAGTTTTCTCTCCTTTGGACTTCCTCTTTTAATTTTGGCCTTCTGTTCTTTGAAGCTTAAAGGTGATATTTTTAGATGACATCCCACAGCCACCTTGCACATATTCCAAGATATGCTTGTAAACTTTTTTCCTCATAAGAGATCAGATTGTATTACAGTACTTAATCAGTTATTAGAACAATAAGCCCACCAAAACCCCAAACAGCAAGTCAGACACCCATTAGAAACCAAAGTTTCAAAGCCTGGTTTAAAAATGAATGGGTCTGGGTAGCATATGTCAAACAGAGTTGGTAAAGGAGCTAGGGTGACAGCCTAAGGGCCTTCTGAAGACAGACTTTCATGTTGAGAAGACACTTGTTATATACAGAGCTATTCCTTGTAGGGAATTCTCAGTTGCTGATTCAAGCTAGTCTTGTCACCAAGCCCCAGCACAGGGATTAGAAGTAACTGTGTTCCACAATCCCGAATTCCAGTGTTATCTACAATAGCAGAACATGTTCTTCAGGGATGATTGACCAGGACACGTAGACACTACTTAGTTATTCACAGTGAGCCCTAAGTTTTGTTTTGTAGGACTGTTTACAGGTGAAAATTCCACTTGTTTGTTTGTGGGATTATTGAGGAATATTGGTCCTAGGAGAACACAGCCTCACGAGGACAGGACCCTCTGCTGGGTTGTTTCCTGTGCTCCAAGCAAGGTCTCTGACATGTAGCAGACTTTCAGACAATTTTATGAAATGAATGTGTGAATGAATGATGCAAAGTGCTGGCCACAAGGTATCTCTCTCAACCTTCCAATTCCTAGGAGATCAGAGGCAGAAGCTGGTGGCCTTTCACCGCCTGGCTACAGTGTACTACTCACTGCATATGTACGAGATGGCTGAGGACTGCTACCTGAAGGCTCTTTCCCTTTGCCCACCATGGCTGCAGAGTCCCAAGGAGGCGTTGTACTATGCGAAGGTGTATTATCGCCTAGGCAGAGTCACCTTCTACCAGCTGAAGGTAAGAGCCAGACCTCCAGGGTTGTGTGAGAGCAGCTGCCTAGCCATGTGTTCTACTGACCTAGGCGGTGGCAGTGAGAATGTGATGGGGATAGAGTTGAGAGGACCAGAGGGCCAGGATGAGGAGTCTTGGTTCACAGGGTGGGAAAAGGCTCCACAGGGGACACTATGGCTCTTTCCACTAAGCATCCTTGGAGACTTCAAAGATTCTCCCATGTCTGCTGAGAACACAGCTCACAGTTCTTTGTTTTCACCCTGCTGTAACTCCTGTAGCTGCATTATCTATCAGCTACTCTGGGGACATTGCCTAGGGCCTATGAATTCCTTGAGAGGCTACAAAAATGTCATTCCCTTCCTAGTGCTTCCCAAAAGAACTATAAGCTCCAGAATCAAAATCAAAATGAGTACTTGATTGTATATCCATAAGATGTTATAGGTCAACTGTTGCTCATTTCATATAAAGTTCCATAAACCTATATTTCATGAGGCACACTGGTGCATATCAGTATTTTTGTGATAAAGTGTGGAACCTTTGCATGTAAGTATGCTTAGGTCCTGAGAAGGCTGTAGCTCTGACTTTCTTGTTTGCTAGGATGTGGTTGTCTAGAACTCATTTTTCAGTACCTTCTAGAAGCTGTGTTGGTTGACTTCAGTTCTATGTTACAATTCTAACTTTAGAACAGCGTCCCTAAGTTTGCCTCCCCTTTACCATGGGTCCCTGTCCTTCCCAGCACAACCCTTCCTTTCTGAGTACAGTGACTTCGGAGTCTCGCCCATGTTTGAGCCCCAGGGGAGCCTCAGGGCAGTTGTACTGTTCTTTTTTTACTGGCTAGACTTTGTATCTGGCCTGAATTAATTATTGACTTAAGAAGGTTAATGAGAACCAGACCTTTTTTTTGAGTCTCACCCAAAAGAGCATCTGTTTCTCATCCCTGGCATGTAGAGAGGGATGGGGGAGGTGTAGGATCCCTGGGCCATCTTGCCGCAGCCCCACAGATTCCAGGAAGAGGTTCATGGCTGCAGTGTACGTGGTCCAACTGCATTAGCCAAGGATTCTAGTGACTGCAAAGGAAGAACAACTCCAACAACCGTAAGCAGAGTAGGCGGCTCATTGACTCCAATACCTGGGAAGCTGAGGTATAGGTTTTGTTTTAGGTAGTCTTGGGTCATGGTGCTGCAACATCATTATGAATTTCCCCACCATCCTCTGTATCTTTTGGCCCTGTATGTTTATATTTGTCTGTGTTCCTTGGCCTCCTCACCTCTAGCCCCCAGGAAGCTTACGCCACATCCGAAAGGATGAGGGACCATTTTCCCTGCTGGGTCACACTGAAGAGTCTTGGCACATGATGATAGGTCAGGTTTGGGTCATACACATCCCTGAAACACTGTGTCTAGGGCAGTGATGTGTCCTGATTGACCAAGCTTGGCTAAGATGCTACCTCAGAGTGATGCTGTGTGGTGGGTGGGACAGGAGTTCCCCTGATGAACCAGAACGTGGGGCTGGGAATGTGAGGCAGACAGAAGCTAAGCTTCGCAGCAGCGCCTCCCAGGCTATCCTGCAAGTGTTTGCTAACATTGTCTCTTTCTCTGCCCTCCTATATGGGGTTAGGATGCTCACGATGCCATGGAGTACTTCTTGCTGGCCCTGGCGGCAGCGGTCCTGCTGGATGATGAGGAACTGCAGGACACCATTAGGAGCAGGCTGGACAATATTTGTCAGAGCCCTCTGTGGCACAGAAGTCCCCTGGGGTGCTCCTCAGAGCGGGCGCGGTGGCTGAGCATTGGGGGCCTGGCCCTCTGAGGGGTGCCAGCCCACCGCTGACCGTTTGCCGTGCCTGGATGCTGCCTCCATGCCTAGGATACTGAGGGGGAGGCTCTGAGTTCTCTCCTGGCCCAGCCTGCTCATTCTGTCAGGAGAAGAAAGAAGTCCAGAGGGAGAGGTGCTCATCCTGGGCCACAGAAGGAGCTGAAGGTGGAGCCACAGTGGGCCGTCCTGGCTCCAGGCCTTGTCTCCAGGTATCTGTGGCCTTTCCAAACAAACAGCCTAAGAAATGCACTTTCTCCATGTGTAGTTCTGGAGAAAATGAGAAAACCTTACCGCCTCCCCCAGAATCTTTCTTTCTTCTCCCAGTGAGGAAATCAGGCGCTACGCTCTGAAAGGCAGGCAGATAGGTTTGTGCCCCTCACCCATTTTCTCAGGGAAAGATCCTACCACTTGTCAAGAGAAGAACCCACAGTTTCTTTTTCCAAAACCAAAGGAGGTGCCGCTCCTCACCCTCATGGGGCCTGATGGGAGAGAATTCACCATGCTCCTAGCTAACAAGACACAACCTCAGGATGGCCAGGGAGTGCACACAGGGCACGAGGCTGGTGCAGACCACGATTCACGTCTCCATCCTGACCCTGGCTGTGCTCTCACATGACCTCCCATAAACTCCAGTGAAGGAGTCCAAAGCTTGTCAAGGACCAAAGCTTGAAATGGAGTGTTAAGCACGTTATGATATAAATTACTTGTAAATACTGTACAACATTAAATATTGACCAATGACATCTGCACACAGATTCTGTCTCCTTTATGTTGGGGACAAATGACATCAGAGACTTGAAGGATGGGTTACATACCAAGATGTCCTACTGGTTTCAGTTTAGCTCCTTTATAAAGCATCTCTTTTAGTAATCTATCACTGTATGACACAGGGGATAGCTTGTACAACAGTTATTTATTATCTCACAGTTTCTTTGGGGCAGGAATCCAAGTGTGACTTAACAGAGCCACCTGGCTCAGGTTAGTTCACACGGCTTCAGTCAAGGTGGCAGCAAGTTCAGTGAGAGAAGGATTTGTGACCCACAGATCACATACCTGTTGGCAGGAGTCAGTTCTTTGGTGGCTATTGGCCGCCACGCAGGCCTTTCCATTGGACTGCTCCAATGTGGCTGCTCACTTTCCCAGAGTGAGCAAGGGAGCAAAGCAAGAGGGAGACAGGAAACAGCCACTGTCTTTGCATAATCAGATGCCAGAAGTGACAGACCCTTAGCTTTAACTATTCTGTTAAATATAAGTGAGTCACTAGGGCCAGCCTGAACAAAAGGACATGAACACCAGGAGATGGGGATCATTCCTGGCGTTACCTACCATTGCATGAATCTTTTGGGAATGGTATCAAGAATTCTCAGGAGCAACAACTCACCTGCGAGACTGTTTGAAATGCAAGTTCTTGAGCTGTGCCTAAGATCTCTGAATTGGAATCTTTGCACCCCAGAGCCCTAATTCTGGCAAGCTCCTAAGTGAATCTAAACAGAATTTGAAGAGCACTGCTCTACAACAGGGTTTCTCTGGTAGTTTGCCCAAGAATTACCTGGGAAAACTTGTTGAACATGAACTTTTGGGTTCTTGCTGCTAATGATTCTGGCTCAGTAGGTCAAGGGTATACCCCAGGAGCACGCATGTTTCATGAAAGCATTCACTCTTGCTCTGAATAGTGTGCACACATATGAAACAGGCTGTCCTCTCCACCTGATGCCCACCAGCTTAGATTTGACTGTCAGATCATCTCTTCTCCATTTCTAGCTTTTTGGGCCTACCAGGTGTTGTTTGTGTGGCAGGGTGGGGAGGAGGGGTACACTGAGTCACGGGCATCTTCTAGTCACCAAGGTTAGCTGCACATCAGCTCTTCTCCTCTCTTAGGGGTGTGGTTGGCAAGTGCTTTTCACTCTAGAAAGTATTCTTTCCCGGGGCTGGGGATTTAGCTCAGTGGCAAAAGCGCCTGCCTGGCAAGTGCAAGGTCGTGAGTTCGGTTCCTGGTACCAGAGAAAAACCAAAAAAAAAAAAAAAGAAAGTATTCTTTCCCAGGAAGGAAATGAAACCATTTTACCCACTGCTATGTAAAATAGATGCAGTTTCATTCCCACCACAAGCTACAAAATCCCCAAGCCGGGAGGAATGTTGTGGTTGATGCTAGCCAGTTTAATCTCCCATGTAGAGTCCTTTCAACAACATTCCTTGCCGATGGTCAGGGGCACATGCATTCCAGGACAGTTACACATCTTATATTTGAAGAAGGCTTGCTTGGCCTTGGAACCCATGCCATGAGCCATGCCTCATCTCACTCGGGTTACAGATTGTCTCCCTTTTCACAGTAACTGATCATTGTCCTCTGGCCAGTTTTGACATTTGCTGTTACCCTGAAAGTGTGATTCCCAGGACTGCACCAAGCTGTTGATATTGGCTAGTATGTGGGGGGGTAAGGAGTGCAGAGAAATGTCACTGTAATGAATGTAATTTAATGGTGCATCTGTACTTTGTGTTAAGGCTTTGCTTCTCTCCAGCATCCACAGCTTAACCTTGGCTCACACTGAGCTTGGTAATCACTTGAAGTTTCTATGTCTTCTCACATGAACTTTCTGTTTGCTTAGATCTTTCTTGATTGCTGCAAGCAAACACCTACATATACACATACATACACATATACACATACACACATGTGCACTCATGTACATGGACAGACATGTGAAGGGCAATGTTTCTATCCATTTTATATTTTATTGGAAGTTTTGGTCAGAATTTTCTAAGTCTGTGCATTTTGATATAAAGTATGGTAAATTTGTCTCTAACTAGGTCAGATATAGATGTTCAAGATGCTCAAACAAGGGTAAGACTATTTTAGATGAGCAAAGTATTATACTATATAATTGCACTTGCTACACCCTATATGTAAATTGCTTGTTACAGTAGCCTTTAAAAGTGTTTGAAAAGCTCATGTAAGAAACTTGGGCTAACTATTCTTCATGGACGTGTGTTGATGCTGTTTTTTTCCTCATAATCCACACAGAGTGAAGTGATGATTGGATTGGTTCTCCATTTAAGCAGGTTTTATTATCTCTATATCATAGCCAAAGAGGAATTGGTTATCCTATTTATTTTAATGTTCTTCACAAAATTTCCATGTGCTGCTTGCCCCCTAGTTACTTGTGTCTAATCTTTTTTTCTTTTTGTTTTGTTTTGTTTTTTTCTGGTACTGAGGATTGAACTCACGACCTTGCGCTTGCTGGGCAGGCACTGTGCTGCTGAGCTGAATCCCCAGCCCCCTTGTGTCTAATCTAAATGAAGAATGAGGATGACTGATGTGGTGGAACACACCTGTAAGTCCAGCACTCTGGGAAGCTGAGGCTGGAGGATCACAAGTTGGAGTCCAGCCTGGGCAGCTGTCTCAAAATTAAAAAAGTGGGGCTGGGGATGTAGCTAGTGCAACAGCCCCAGTAACACAAAAACAAAACAAAACAAAACAAAACAAATAAAAACAAGAACAAAACAAAAACCCAAGAGCAGAATTGCAGCAGTGTGGAAAATCCTATGTGTTTTCAGCATTCAAGAGCATGACCTCCCTGACCACTACTGTTAACATTCTGAAATCTTAATGCTGCTTTTATCTTCTTCTTACTTGCTTTTCTATTAGTTTAGGGTATATTTTATTTTGTATGCATTTATTCATGTAACTCATTTGATAGAAGTTTATTTGGAAAGGGAAGATGCAGGGGAGAAGTGTCAGAATAGGGTTAGGTAGTGGATCACCAGGGGGTGGGAAATCTGGATTTTGATGGCAAATCGCAAGTGACTTTGGGCATATCATTTGACCCCTCTGCACCTTAGATCACTGATCTCTAAGAGAAGTTCACCATTAGGTTTCTTTACTGCAGTGCTATTCACACACTGCATGACTAGGACAAGAGATGGCATCTGGGAGATGAAATTGTATCTTCTTGCTCCCCAATTTTATTCTTGTCTGTTTACAGGTGAGTAAACTGAAAAAGAGGAAAGTAACCCCCACCCCAGCTGCATAGATACTTAGTGGCAAACACAGCAATACTCCAAGCCTGATGACCTAGTTCAGAGCTAGCTTCACGTCTGCACAGTGCATGTATCTGTGCATGCATTTGTCACCATGGCACTACTCAAAGAGCCTTTTGCCAAAGTTTTAAAAAAATGGGTTTACTTCCTTATTCATACAAATTCACTTTATAAAGGAGGACTGGTCCATATATAAGAGAAAACTTGTATTGTTTTCCATAAATGAAATTTCACAAATAATGGAGACAAAACACGGCACTCATTTCAAGCAAGTTCCTGTTACTTAGGGAAGCACACAGCCCCGGCCTGGTCTGGTGTTGTTTGGAAACAAGTTCACAAGTAGGAGGGTGCAGAAGACAGACTGGCACCATTGCTTTTTATTTTGAATAGCTGGAGAAGTGGAGAAAGCAGCAAGAGGACTGACCTCCTCACCAGGACAGTCATCCAAGCTGTGTCGGGGTGCATCTCTCCATTTCAAGGAGTGGGGATCCAGTTGGCTGAGAGGGGCAAGCGATGTATTATGTAATATGATCCAGGATCAGAAACCTTGTGATAAGGGTCAATTACAGGATGTTGGAGGGACTGAGAGGAGGGGCTTTATCAGTCACAGGAGCAGGGGCATTAGAGAGCACTTCCTGGAGGAAGCCATGCCTGAGCTGCATCCTGAATAGAAATACCTACTTGTAACTGCAGGCTGGTGTTTTGGCAGAGACAAGGGTGTGTCAAGCAAAGGTCCAGAGGTGGGAGAAGGCTTGATGAGTGTACTGAGGCTGGAGCAGATCAGGGTGGAAGGTAAGGTTAGTGAGAGGGGAGGTTGGAGAAGTGGGTGGAGACAGACCTAGAGGTCCAGATGTCCCAGACATCCATGAGGGTGAGGGTGAGGGTGAGCTATAGTAGGAAGGTTATAAGCACTTGGAAGACATGATGGTATTTAGAATGATGATTCTGGAAGCAACACAAGAATGGATTACAAGGCAGCAGAAGGGAAGAGGCCCCTGGCTAGGGAGTGCATACTGCAGCCACTTTCTCTGTTGGTGTTTTTTTCTGATCCAGGATCCAGGCTAGCATATTGCGTTGCATTTAATTGTCACATTTCCCTAACAAGCCCAGGTCTGTGGCATTCTCACAGCCTTTTCTTGCCTACTAAGACCTTCAAAGTTTTGACCTCCTTTTATTTTGACATTGAACTGTACAGACAATGGGCAGAGGAGAAAGAAATTCAAGGAAATGGGCTCTGCATTTACCCAGGTGGTTGCAAGGAAGTGGGTTTTTCTACCGGGCATAGCTAGGTTAGAATCTGCTTCTGTATAGCTGTGCAGTCTTCAGCAAATGAATTAGCTTCTCTGAGCCAAGTGCCTTCAAAACTATGTCAGCACCTGTAAAAGGAACAAGTACAGACAGTGCCTGGCACAAAAGGTAAACATGAGATGATCTGATAAAGATTTTGTTTACCTTCTTTATCTTGTAAACAAGGAAACGGTTGAAGTAGATCTATCTTTGGGGACAGTCCTTTACCCAAGGAAGAAAGGACTCAAAAACAAATGAGGCTATTTTCAAAGGGAGTTAATAAAGTAGTTTACGTTCTAAAATAATGCTTACCATGTCCCCACCCATCAGTTTATTTTAAAGCTAGTTTTAAATTTGTTTTTCATATTAGCTTTTATGTGGTACTTTGCAATCCATCATGTTTTATTTTTTTTTTTTAGGCACA